CGCCACTCCCACAACGCCAAAACGTAAATACGACCCCCTCCCAAAAATGATCAAATACGACCCCCCTCCCTTTACAACGTCCATGAAGCGAGAAAAATCAACTATCAAAATAAATTTTTCTCAGCCCAAATACGACCCCCCCTCCTGGCGACCAAATACGACCCCCCTATTGGGGATTCCCCAACAACGATGTGCTCTGGATCCAACGTAACTACGGTTTACCCCTTCGATTGGTGATTATTCGTTTTGCGCAAGGAGTCCATCGAGTGCATCCGCTTGATTATTGGCGCCTCTCAGGATACTGTCCGCCTTTCTCACTCGCTGGATGTTAATATCTTCGACGTTATTTTTTCGAATTAGGGAGAAGTGTGACGGATAAGGTGGAGGGGTGGAAATGGGAGTGGGTGGAGGGTCAGGTAGGGTGTGGAGGAGAGGTCGAATTGGAGCGTGTTCCTCATCGCAGTGATCTAACCTGCTTATACTACTTCTCGGTTCCTGGAGCATTTTTTACCAGATAGTAATATTCGCCACTTCCAGCTATACATCAGATACAGTCGTCATCCGGTTACGTGACATCTTGAACTTTTGTGCATGGTCCTGTTACGAAACCCTGTGACGCAGACGGATGAGGGCAGTGGCTGCCAAAGCATCGAAACGTGCAGAAAACGTATGGCGAGCCAGGAAACGGGATTTCAGGGAGAGGACCCGGAATGGGTGAGCTACTTATAGTCGGTGAAAAGCTGGAGTGAGCGAAGTCACAACGGCCATAGAGTGCCATGCGGAGAGTGCAGAGAAAAAGAGAAGATCGACGCGTTTAAAGGCAATTCCCGCGACCACACTTCATAGGTAATACAGTTCAAAAATAGAATTGCCCTGTGATTGTTGACTTATTGAAGAGAAGGAACCACGAAAAAGCGCCCGCAATAAGACCCTCTTTATTTCAATTGATCATGATCACCGGACGAGCGTAAGGTGGTCATCAATTGTGGATTGCAAAAGGCGGCGAGACACTGATAAGAGACGAGAGAGGCCAGAAAATGACGGGCGAGAGAGCGCAATGGCAATGTCACAACGACACGGTCACCGGAGGCCGGCATGGGCCTATCGGGCGCCAATGGGCCTAAAACATGAGCGCCGTGCGTTCTGCTTGCTGTTTTTCAACTTTTAAAAGCAGCATATCCTCTACTGTTGCCTGCTTGATCATCATGCACGTTTATGAGGTTCTAGCCTTAGTTTATCGCGGAACGTGCCTTTAAAGGGATTCAGTTCAAGTTGTCCGTAAACCGGGGCACTTGGTTAGACGGCCAAGGCTCGTGACGCGACTACGGCGTGTCACGAGTCCGGCAATAATTTGGCCATTTTCTCCCTAATTTTCACTGTATTTTCTATTTTTCCCAAGGTTAGTTGTTTTATTGTCTTTATGAAGTACATTAGGACGTGGAGTCTTTTTTGTTTTTGCAATGGAGTGTTTTTGCGATTTTTCAGGTATTTGTTCAATTGTCTGCTTAACTGTTTAATTGTACGCAAAAATCAGAGGAATCTCAATCATAATTTACCTTGTGAAGACAAGGAACAACTAATCTTGAGAAAAGCAGCCAAACAGTGTAAATTAGGGAGAAAATGGCTAAAATAGGCTGGAAACAGCTGATCGCTCGTACACGCCGCAGCCGCGTCGCGAGCCTTGGCCGCCTAATCAAGTGCCTGGATGACGACTGTAAGTGAGCAACTGGAAAGCGTGTCCCCCACGGAAAACCATTTCGCTTGCAGATACTTAAACAATCAAGATTTTATCTTTCAGCCGCCTCTTCGCGTTTTGCCGCTCTCCCACACATCGACCTACGCCTACCTAACGATTTTTTCTATCCATTTCTGGAAAAATCGACCGGTTCTTCTCATATCACATGTATAATGCCTATATTGGTTTACCTCCTAGGGAGGAATTCAGTGTTGTTTGAACTATTCTAGCCATGCTAATATTCATTAATAAATTGATGTCACTACAAATGAAAGTGAGGTTAAAGATGTGATCATCATCTGGAAAGACATTCAAAAATGGGACAAAATTCCAATAACAGTGCGCGCGACACGATCAACAAAGTGAAAGGAAAAGTGCAAATATGGAATACTTGTACAAAAACAGGCAAAAACCATGAGAAAATGCACAGTAATAAGAAATTATGCAAGAGGATTGGATTCAATGAGAGTAGTGTATTATGCAGTATGAGGGTGGAAGTGTGAGTTGTTGCAATGATGGGTGCGAAAGCGGTGGGGACCCAGAGGTGATGAGTATGAAACGGGCAGAACTTGTATAGAAAAAAAGGCTCAACATAAAAGAAAGCGTGTGCATGGCAGTGTAAGAGCATAAATCTTGATGAGAAAACAAAACGACAGCAGCGATTCCTATAATATAAATGACTAGTAAGAAGGGTTCCTAATATGGGAAACTATCGAGAGCAGATTTATGCCCAAATTCCTTCGGCGTCATCAAGCTCTCCGGACATTGTCATGACGTCACCTGAATAGGCAGCTTATAATTGTCTAATATAGAAACAGCATTAACTGATGGAATACCTTGTCGAGGGCTTGGCTGAGAAATGAAGGGAGTAGGACCTCCGACGGCCACCGTAGCAGCGCCAGGTTGAACCACACTGGCAGCACTTTCTGGACGAACCACCATGGCGCGCCTGGAACCGCTGTTTTAGTTTCGAAAACATTTTTGCACCAATCTACAGTATTTCCGCTAGGCACTATCAATGGGATAGATTTGACCTGGCGCGGAAGATGGAAAAGAATATTATTCGTATGTTGACCATTGAAAAAAAAACCCAGACCAGATTGAATTTCCAAGGCTTACACATATATCAAAGATGGATGAGGCGTTGCCGCGTACTCTACTTAAACGCTATAACTGCGCTTTTGGTGGAACCTGCCTTTTCTGGGCGATTGCACTGTTTTTTGTCCAGCGAAAACCTTCCCAAACCCTTTGGTACCACTCCTTCATAAGTTTTCCCCCAACTTCTCACCACTTTCTGACAATTTCCCACTTCCTTTCCCAAAAAATTGCCAAAATTGCCATCCGTCAAGCGGGGAAGGGTGAGACTGCTACAAGCGGAAAAAACCGTGAAGGGTCAGCAGGAAAATTTTTTCGGCAGCGTGGAACAGAAAAAATCAGCTGTCAAAAAACTGTATGACTGCCCTCCTTCCAAGTCCGAAAACGGACCAGGTGGAGATTTCCCGGCTACGACGGAGCACAACAAAGATGATGGTTGTCTTGAATGGGAACATCCCATGAAAACCTATTTATGCCATGTTCAGATGGGTTACACAACCACCCTCACCTTTTCCTTCTCCGCTACAAAACACTCTTAGTAAGTTCCACCTATCAACCTCGTAAAGGCAATAACTAATACAAACAAAAACTTTTAGTGATGCCTTTTAGCAGTTCTCTTTCAGCACCCAACGCGAAGCGAGAGAGCAAGAAACACTGTAAGTTGCACGAAAAGATATATCTCAACTCCGTTGGTGAATGGAGCTCATCCAACAACAGTAGGTAGGGTCCCAAACAAAGTGCAAAATTGTTGGGAGAATCCCATAGAAAAAAAGGTCACATTCGACATCGAGATAACATCCTTTAATACATCTGAATGTAAACACATAAAAGAGGCGTCAAAAAATTGCGAAAAACTCCAAAGATCTGAAAGAATGCAAAAGTCTTCGCAAAAAATTTTCTATTATTTTTATTCCTTCCTTCGAATATTCCGGTGCTTAGCTCCTTCTTCAGCGATAAAATTTTTACTAGGGTACAAACAGAAATAACAAACAGCGAACGAAACACAACTTTTTATTTCCAGTTACTTTCTATCGGTCAACTTGCTCAAGCAAATGCATTCTATTTCTAATTGCTAAATTTCATTAATTGCAAAATTCGAGATTCTCGTACTACAACATACCCTTCTACTCCGCTTAACTAACTCACAATGTTTTGCGCAACTTTGTACTCCCTTCCTTTTTTCGTCTCGATTAGTTTTTCGACTTTCACCGTTTCAGGCGCACTATGTAATATCATAATATCAAGATATCGTTTCAGATGGTTGATTTTCCCTTTTCATGGTGTCCTGAGGAAAAGGTGTTATGCCCATCTATGCCATTCCCGGCTGGGATTAAGAAGAATAAAATACTCTAGCATATGTCACGGGTAATTGCATAGCCGCGTCCTAGCTATTACATGTGATTTATGTTATGAGTAGCCTAACAGCATCTTCCATCCCATTGAAAGCGAGAAATGACACAACATGTCATATTAGGAATAAGAATCCACAGGAAATTACCTTTCGTTCTCCTGTTTTAGTTTTCGCATCAGGGCTTCCTTGTGTCTACGAACATTATCAATCTCCTCACGAGGAGCACGAGACTTCTCCAAAAGAGCCAAATGAGCGTCTTTTTCTGCGATAGCGGCCATGAGAGCTTCTTGCCTACAATCCCCGACGCCATTAAAACTATTTTAACCTCAAAAACATTCAAAGTACGCACTTCAACTGCAACAGCTGTTCGATGTGCTGCCGCCGTTCAGCTTCAAGTGCCCTCATCAACTGATCGCGTTCACTCGTACTTCCCTCAGCTACTCTCTTTCTCAACTCCGCATTTTCACGACGAGCATCGCTCAACTGGAAATATGATGATTACTCTTCGTACACTAGTACTTGTGGGCATTTCTATCAATTTCGTAAAAAAAATTCTACCTGCTGATTCACTTGATGAAGTATATGCTTCTGTTGAGAAAGGTGAACTTCACGTTCAGCTGTAATGCTGACTGATTCTCTTAGCGCCTCTTCCAGTTCCTCGATTCTAAATTGATATCACAGTAAAACTCATCGTTACAAGAAATTCTACTTACTACCTCTTTTTCGCTTGAGCACTTATACCTCCAGGGAGTAGACTGCCTGGCACTACAGATGAATGCTCGCCCTAAAACGTGAATCGGTCACATTGTGGTAGATAATCGCATGAAACAAGCTTGATCTCATAGAGTCTCAATCTTGATCGGAGGGGGAGGGGGCAAAAAAAGTCACTTTCCTTCATTGACTTTCGAGGCGCTATAAGTTACACTTTTTATAAATTCTGATCGGACATTTTTACCACCATATTAAAGAGCATATTAAATACTATCATGACACTCCGCCACAGCCTTCTGGACGAGCGCCATCGAGAGATTCTGGCACGCGACCGCGATGTGGTGCCTGAGATCAGCGAGATAGTCGATTTCTCCGCCACCGTAGACCACCCTATTGAACTCCGCCCGAACCGGGTAATTGAGGGGATTCAGGTCAGGTGACCTACTTGGATATTCCATCTTCTTTAGGTATCAGCCCCCTTCCATTCCAAGTAGGCGAGAGTTTCTCCAATGCCCTTCGATTCCATGTGGTGGCACCCAATGCTGTAGCAGTACAAAGTTTCCAAGAAGGTACGGGCGACGACATGTGAGGAGGATATTCTTCACGAGTTGCTCGATATAACCGCCAGCGCTCAACTTCAGTCCGAGGCCCACGAAGAAAATATTGGTCTTTCCATTCCAGGTACGTTCGGTCCATACCATCAACCCGCGCCTTGGCGACTGTGGTGAAGATGATGTCCTAGACCGTAGCGACGTTGACCGTGGCGACGTTGTCGGAGCTGCTCGATGTTGGAGGTCTTCCAGATCGAGAGTACTGGTCTCCAGGTAGCTATCCATGGGTGACTCCATACTAGAAGTTTCGCAGCTGTTTGGAGGTGACATGAATTCCAAAGGTCTTCTCCAGTCAGGCTGCGACTGGAGATGACTTCATATTTTGGTGTACATGAAGGTGATGGGCGAGAGCCAGCTCCTGCTTATAGAGGAACATCTTGGGTATCTTCCGCCCTGGTACTCGTATCCACGTCCTCTGTCTGGGCAGCGAAAACTTTGCTGATATGTGACTCGGTCGAAGTGACTTTTTTTGCCCCCCCCCCCCCTGTATATAAACCAGAAGTTGTTTGTGTGTCTGTGCGTCTCTGTGACCCCCTGAAATTGGGGTTTCGTGGAAATTTACTTTAAGGGTACGGATTGTGCTTGGAATAGACGTGGCATGGACCAGCATTTGCAGAGCACACACATAAGCTCACCTAAGCTCCGCCCACAATGGGCGGGGTCGCGGAGTTTGCCGAAGTGGAGCATACGCGTGATGAAAACCTCAAAACTGTCATCGGAGCAGCCCAGGGAACGGGGAATATGAGTGAAACTGAACAGCGGGTGGGTAGAAGAATTAAGAGAGACAAACGTCAGCAGCATATGAAAATACTAAACGGTTAGGGCCCCGTGCGATAGTCCATTCTGCAAATCCTCAACACTAACAAGGGAATGTTTGAAATTCCCATGGTAACTTTGAATGGAGAAGCTGAGTACATCGATAGACTCTGAAATGCTGATTACGAATATGCAGATTAAAAGTGCTACGGAGACCTCCCAGACGAGATCTGGGAGGTCAGACTTTGCGAAAAGTCAGTTTTGGCTCGTAAGCGACATGGCTGACGATTGTCTCCGGCCAGTGCCACCGTGGCCTCGTGGTAACGGCCTCGTTTTCGAGTCAAACGCACGCGGGTTTGCATCCGATTGCCGCGAAAATTTTTGCTTCGCCCCCTATAAGAGCTTTCACTCTATTTTTCGAAATTCCTTTTAACGCGAGTTACGGCGCCACAGGACAAGTTAGATCAGATTTAACATTCAGTATAAGATCCGTACCCGATCTACTATGGAATTGGTCATATCTGCCCTCCCTGAACATATTACTCACCCCAATTCAAAGTTTTGGCGAGAAACTCGTTAATGGGAGATTTCGACCCCCGAACACGAATATCACATCCTTTGACGAAAAATGTTATTCTGGCCAAATTGTGTTCTGACTTGGACAAAACTTTGAATTGTGGGATGAGTAATATGTTCAGAGAGGGCAGATATGCCAAAATCCATACCAGATCGAGTACGTCATATACTTGATCTACTTGCCCTGCTGGGCCGTAAACTCGGAAGTTTCGAAAATTAGGGTTAAAGCTCTTATAAGGAGCGAAGCAAAAATTTTCGCACCAATCGGACGCAAATCCGCGTGCGTTTGACTTGAAAGCGAGACCATTACCACGATGCCACGGTCGCACTGCCGATACATCGATCAGCAGCGCTTACGAGCCAAAACTGACTTTTCGCAAACTTTGACCTCCCAGATCTCGTCTGAGGTCCCCGTAGCACTTTCAATTGCATATTCGTAATCAGCATTCGAGGCTTTACCGATGTACCTAGGTCTCCATTTTCGAAGTTCCATGGAAATCAAACCATCCTGTAATGGCGACCCTAATGAGAAGTTGTCACGACTGTTTTCTATGAGAAGGGGGGGGGGGAAGCAAAGGATAGATACAAGAGAAGTTAGACGGTAAAAGTTCGGTAAGTCGGTATTGGAAAATAGTTTTCGAACGAAAAACACTTGCCAAAACTCTGGGCGATACACTCCGATGTTTTACCTAAAATATAACAGTGTTGATGTCGTTGGTGCTGTAATCCATACAAGAGCTCTGAGGGCTCAACATTTTCCAAAATATATGAAAAACATTCGAGACTTTTGAGATCTTCCGGAAAGAATTCCGAAGCTTTATGGTACTGAAAAACGTTCAAACTGTAATCAGTCTTTCAATTACCAAAGATTATCCACCTTAGTCATGTTGTGCCATGGTAGTGCATTTTTTCCAGTCCACCACGATCGATGGCGCTTTGTAACTGCTTACATTGCGAGCTTAGCTGAGTATTCTCCTTTTCCAACTGGCGGACCATCTTCAACAATTTGTCTACTTCTCCTCGAGCCGATTCCACCTGGAAAACCCTGAGAGTAGTCGATTCTTCGATATAAGGCACAGCTTCCCAGTTACCGATTAAACCCCCCGCATATCCAGTTCGCAGGATTGGAGAGAAGTGATAACGCCAAGCTGGCGCTTATTGGGCGTCAAATTGGATCAGACTTGAAAGCGAGTGTCATATTCATCACGATGACAAATAACCCCCGTATATAAGTTTTCATCGAATTGAGAAAAAGGCGACTGCTGGCGCAAATGGTACCAGCGCCAAGAATGAATATGATATCCGCGATCAGCAGCCTACAAAGACAAAGCCTTTACGAAAAATTTTTCAGTTTTTGGGGTAGTAATATCGGAACAGTGCTGTTTGAATGCCCTGTTCCAACCACATCACCAAACGGACCACCAAAGTGCGTCAGTTGAGCGTACAGTAGAAAGGCTAATAAATTCACAAGTAATAAAATAAGAATCCCATATAGGAAAAAGAAATGTGTAGAAAAATGAAGAAAAAACCTACCTCCCGGTGAAGTTCTTCTGCGCCTTTATCCGTTATGGCTGTTTGTAGCCGCTGCTTTGCGGCTGCTAGCTCACGGTCCATATCACCGATCTTAAATCGATAAAACAAGTAAGCAGGTGTCAAAAAGAAACACTGAGATGCCCACCTTCTCATTTTGTGATTCAAGTAAAACATCACGATCAGCAAGTTCTTTCTGCAAATTCTCCACGTTGCACCTCAACTGTCGTACCTGCAAGGACAGAAAAATCACATTTGTTTTTTCCTTTTTTCCCTCTGGCATTGTGTGAAACAACGGATCCCAATCAACAAAGAAAATGATCGCCCAGAAAGAAAAGTCGGAAGACTCTACCTCAGCTTGATAGGTTTCTTGTTGCTCCAGCCGCTCCTTTTCAGAATTCCTTCTCAATTGATCTATGTGATCTTGCAGGCGCTTTTTCTCCAGTGTCACTAGAAACAAATTATATAGCTCAAGAGGTTGAGAACAGGAATTTCGAGAAAATTATACTCGATTCTATTTTGTCCTTCATCTCCTTTTCTTTAATCACATCAGGATGACTGAGTAGACGAATCTGCAAGAAAAGCCGGGCATTGTTATGTTAGAAGAACCAACAGGAGGGGGTCGTAATTACACTCCCGCTCGCTGCGGATGATGAGGCGTGTCAGCGCGGCTGCGTCTGGCACGCTGCCAGCCCGCTCTCCACTTCTTGCTGAAGAAAGTAAGAGGCAAAACCCGGTGGAAAAAAAGTGACAAGGACGATACCCAAGTTTTTTGCTTGTCTGAAGGAAAAAAGACAAAAAAAAACGCGTTGACGTTGCGTCAGAAACAGCCCGTTGACGCGCACCGCAGAGAACGAGACTATATATCAAACTTTCAAGATATCGAGTCAACAGCATCAGTAAACACAGATTTGAGGAAAATCAGACCTTAGCCTTGTCCAGCTCTGCTTCCTTATCCCTCAGCGACGTCTCCAGGCCGTCAATACGGCCCATGAGCTGAGAAGTCCTGTGATCTGACTGTTGGATCTGTAAAGAAATGTATTTCGTTAAAGTGCACTTGATGCATTTGCGGACCTGTGCGTTAAAAGGCATCGAAGTTACTTTCCAGTTAAATGGAATTCACAGAGAATTCCGGAAACGCTCATCAGTTAGGCCGCGTTCATAGCTTGCGTTCGTGAAGAAATGCGGAAATGCAGAAGTGCGGAATGTGCAGAAAAGCAACCGATACGTATCGATTTTCCACTTTCGGCATTTCTGCATTTCTTCAAATCGATACGTATGTAATGCTTTTCGTCATTTCTGCACTTTCCGCACTTCTGCAGTTTCGGCATTTCTGCATTTCTTCAAGTCGATAACGTATCTATTGCTTTTCTGCAGATTCCGCACTTCTGCACTTTCCGCACCTGCATTTTCCGCATTTCTTCATGAACGCAAGCTATGAACGCGGCCTTATCGTCAGGATGAGGTTTTCTCGCAACATGCCTGTTATCAAAACAAAACAGCTCCACACAGCACCAGGTTTCGAGAAGGTGTGCGTGGGAAATACAAAATAGTCAAAAACTCAGAAGGAAACAATTCGTCAGAATGAAACCCGAAACCTTTCCACTCACAGATACCTGTTTACCGAAAACAACAACATTTCGAATGGCGGACTCACCTGCTCATTCTTTTCGCTAACTTCTCCTTTTGCGCTGGCTAAGTCCTTTTCTAAGCGCTCTATTCGTTGATCTCGCTGTTCCATCTGTTGATTCTTGCCTTCCAATTTTTGCCGTAGAGCGTCGACCTAGAATTGAACTTAAAAACTATAGCAAGAAGCTGACTAGATTTCAATTTGGTTGAAAGAGAATAATATATTTGCGGTAAACCGCTTAAAGGTGGAACCAGAAATCAGATTGCTGCTTGCGTTTTTCTCTTACTTTGAACAATTTCCAGCATGATTCTTTAAAACCTATTCCAAAAAAACTCGCAAGAGAGAATTCCCGAAATTTTTTCAAGATTAATCATCCCGCTTGCTTAGAACCTAACCCTTAAGATGCTAAGCACAGAAATATAGCAATAATTAGGCAATTATAGTTACGGTTTAGTGGAATAATTTCAAAAGACGTTCGAGACTTTCACTGCTCGAGTTTTTTGGTATAATTTCGGACCTTCATACTGTTGCTAAATATTCAGATACCATGAGGTTCTGGCACATTACTCAAAGGTAGTGGGCACAATTGCTGAAGGCGGGCGATGTTGCCAGGGTCATTGATGGAAGGGGTGCAAGAAAGCATTTGGCTACACCCCACTTAGCCGCTCCACCAATGAGTTTGCAGACAACCGCCCGCCCCAGCAATCGTGCCCATTGCGTTTGAACAAATTCCAGTGTTTCACTGCAGCGACAAAAACGATGAAGTGCGTTCGTTAGCGAAACAAAAACTATTATTTATATAAATATGTACTCTTTCAAGCGCTTGCAACAACAGACACGGCAAGGGGTCAAGGAAACCGCTCATAAATGTTCGAGTCTACCATGGGATCAAACAAAAAAAATCCCTGTTCCACTTGGAATAGGCAATTCATGAAAAAGCAGTACAAATTACAAGATGCACAAAACAGTATCACAAGTTATAGTATTGTGCTTCTGTGCGTGTTGCGTGCGTGCTCTACACGTAAAACGTTTTGGCTTTTCCGTCGTTCCCAGAAGCATCGCTCTCACCACTGAAAGGTGGTGGAGCGCGATGCTCATCCACACTAAACAAGTGACCCATTTGTTTAGGAGGTCTCATACTTTGCGATACTGGAGAATGTCCGACAAAGGCTCAGATGGGAATCGATTGATTTCGATTCTTCCAAACTGCCAGCAAGAGGAGTCGATCCATTGGCGCTGATCCGTTGATTCTCTTATTCCGCTGTTCTACCATTCTCCAGGGTCACGGAGTACTATAAGAGCACCCTTACTGGTGTTCTGACAGAGCTCCATAACATTCTAGTAGTGTAATATAACACCTTTAAAAACGATAGAAAACGTAGGCGGAATAAAGTATACCCAAAAGGATTGTGGTAAAGGCATAGTAATAAGACCATAGTAATAAGATAACATCTGAAAATGCCGAGGCTCCTGCACAAGAGAAAACAATCCCACAATAAGTAATAAGAAGCGACTGGAAAGGTATCACTTGTAAACTGGGAAGGGCAAACACTCACATCGCCCTGCAGAAGGGTGTGCTGCTGTTCGCGGTTCGTAATTTGCTCCTTAAGCAGTTGTACGTGTTGCCGTAAATCAGAAGCCTGTTCTTCCGCATGTCTCATTCGAGCTTGACATTGAGCTAGCTCCGCCTTTCTCTCACTCAACTCAACCTCAGATCGCTCCATTTTCATTCGCAGGGTTACCTGAACGGTGTGATTTATGTCTGCTTTGATCGAAGGTAGGAGTTAAGCCAAATTCATTGCAACCAAAAACGAGATAACCAGAAAAACTACCATTTCGTGACTCGTGATGCTTTTATCAGTGAAATCGCGAGGCTGACCAGCACGACTCAATCGCAATCTGGATAACTCTTCTTGAAGCTCATTGATACGTGCTTGCTGCAATGGCACGTATAGTTCCGTATAATAGTCTCATTACAGTCTCCACAGTGGACCAATAGAAATTATTTTAATATTTAGGCATGCATAATGGGATATTCTGTACTATAACATGACGTGGTCCTTAGTTGTAATCAAAAACATATGTAATCCCGAGTATGTGGAAAAAAACGAACACCTACTACAAAACACGGAGAAACATCAAAACCTCAATCAGGCAACGTTTAGACTTCGCGACGGCAGCGCTTCGATCGCGCCTCGACGCGATCGATGCAGTAGAAAGCATGCGCATCGATCGCGCCGAACGCGCGACCGAAGCGCTGCCGTCGCGAAGTCTGAATGCTGCCTAACTGGCGAATGAAAGAGCAATACCTTTTCATCTGCGATACGAAGAGCGTTTTCGAGGGCGAAACGACTACTTGGATCCTTAAAGGAACATTTACTTCCAGAAGCTTCAATTTAATATAACAATGTGTGACTTACAACTCCTCCCATCATTTGCTGCTCGTTAATTTTGAGCATTTCCTGCAGTTGCGCCACAGTATCTTCAAGCTCCCGGATGCGCATATCGGATAAGCTCGACTGACCTAAGGCACAAAACTTAGCGACTACAAACGCGATACAGCGACTACGAACTATAGCACTATAAACGCTTACCTGCCATACCGTCATCAATCATCGCTGAAAGTTGCCGTATCTTTTCGTCACGAGCGACAATTTCCATTCGAAGATGGGCTTAACATGCATCATTAAACGATCGAGTTACTCGGAGGGACAGGAGACTCATGTAAACTGAATGGTTCGACAATGATACGAACGACATGATACCCTAGGAAGCGATACCAGTTTACTCTTCTGCCAAACATTAAACGAGGTTTCGATTGCAGTCGAAACCCCTCTTCTTACACCAAATCTAGGCTAGGAATGGATCGAAGTGTGACAACGGACAACGGAGACGAAGTGGAAGACTAATAGCTAGATAAGGATGACTCGCGCAGCGACAGCAAACTTTTTGAGGCTATAGTATCCGAAAATGAGCAAAATAAACTGAAAAAAGTAGGGAAAGGACTCCGAATCAGCCAAAAAACTGCCACGGGCACGAGAAAACCATTTTTCCACGAAACGATCTTTTTACACCCTTTCCGCTTATCTTAATTCCTAGGCAAATCCTGACTCACAGTCGTTTAGGCTGTGTTTATGCATTGCGTGGGCGTATGCTAGCCTACATCAGCGAATGCCAGCGTATGACAGCGTTTCGAGCGTACTAACGCCAGCGTCTGGGAAAGTATAGGTGTTGATCAAGCGAACGCCAGCTCTCACCAGCGTCCACCAGCATTATGCCAACGTACAGCAGCGTTTTCGCGAACAGTTTTGCTCAAGTTTAAAAGTGCCCGCGAAAAAGCCGCTGTACGATGGCTGACGTCCGCAGACCGATATCTATTTTTCCCTAATCCATCAGACCCTGGCGGAGGGAGCCATACCCTGATGGACGCCGGCGTTCGCTAGATCGACATTCACGCTTTCCTAGTCGCTGGCGCTGGCGTACGCTCGAAATGCCGGCGAGCGTTGGTGTAAGCCGACGCAAGGTATGAACGCAGCTTTACTGGCACCTTGCAAAATGATGCCGTCTAATACCCTAGAAATTCGAAAAAGGCGTGAAATGCAGCTTGTGCCACTCAAGACCGCACTTCAACAGTGCTGCGTAATGCCGGTACACGATTCAAATCGGTTCATTTCGTAGCGTACCATGTCTTTCACAACACTGCCCCGTAGTAGCTCACACAAACGCCCCCAAACTGCAGTTCAACGGCTTGTAAGAACAAGCAGAATATTAAAGTATGTCTATCAACTCACCGACATCCTGAGATATTGCAGCTGAGCCGGGAGCGGATGCCTGCAGCAATCGTTCTACTTCCCTGCGCATTTGACGTTCACGCTGAAGACTGTTATTTTCATCAAACATGTATGTATCACAAAACGCAGAATACCAAAAAAATAACCTTAAGCTCGGGACTCCAAAAGGTCTTAATCGAGTTCATCGTCTGATTAAGTTTCTCTATGCTAGCTTGATAATCAGCTTTGAGCTGTTCGTATTCCGCAGATAATGAAAGGCCTCCAGGCAATCGGCTACTGGCACCACCCGCTTCAGAGTAGTGTGACATTCTGAAAGAAATGGAAACTGAGCGGTAACAACGTATTACATTTGCACTGCAACCAAACAGCGTGAAAAAGGGCAAGGAATTCGACGAAATTATTCCACAGAGGCTGGTGAGAACGGTGAGCGAGAACGGACGGTGCGAACACAGGCTGCTCGCATTGTGAATAATCGAATAGCAATGCTATGTAAAAGGAACGCACAAGGAAGAGTAATCGCTCCACCAAAACGGCTCGTCGCTCGAATCGATTGCGTATACTAATTAGACTATCTGCATAGTACATTCTTTCTTCACTCAAAATGCCCTATGTCTATGCTGGGAATAGGTGTATAGCGCATTTTCCCTTTACTGGGCATTAATCAATACAGAATAGTGGCTGAGAAAAATTCTTACGAAATAAGGTTCCGCCGAGGCAGATTTCATGAGGAAATCGCAAGTTGAAAAACTCACCCGCCCACGTTGCCCCAAAAGTTTTGATTAGTTGATGCTGGATTGGATAATGGAGCACGATATACACTTTGTAGACCAGAACTCTGAAAACAGGCTATAAAGGACCATGCTGATTGTGAGTCATCAGCTACTGTAAATACCTCAGCAACAGAAACTTGGCAATCAAGAATTTTCAACTTTGTGTACATTCAACTACAGACAAGACCGCTGCATCCTTCCTTTGCGTCATGCGTTTGACTTTAAAACAGGATCGGAAGGATGGTACATGGGGAACACGAGCAAGAGAATCGTAAATTGCCGCTTCGTCGCGCGCGGCAACGGAAGCGACGTCTCCTTAATTTGCACTACCCTTTCGCCTGGAGCATCGGATTTCATGTAGACAAGGACATGATAGACACTTGAGTCTGGTCTTTGACATTGTCTACTATCAACCAATACCACCTAAAGTCTTCGTCATAAGCTGGTGCTAATGGCGCGAATTACGATTCTCTTGCCACATCCCCGCTACATGGTATTAGGGGTTGCAAAATACTATAATGATCTTCACTTTATAACTACTGGCTATTATCACAGAAAGCGAGATCTCGCTGCCCGGAGAGACCATTGATACGGTCTTGTTTACCGCGGATGAAGGGGCGTGTCAGGCAGGATGCAATTGGCGCTACGCCAAACCCCTTCCGCACCAGCTGTTGAAGAATTTAAGGGACAACAATTGGTGGAAAACGACTGACACGAACGATACGATGCAATCCTTTCGTTTGCTCACTCAGGGCAGATCATCTTTGGGGATTCCCCAACAGGGGGATGTATTTGGTTGCTCGGAGGGTGGCGCGTAGTTGGTCCAAAAGATATTTTTTTTCGACAGTGATTTTTCTTGTTTCACGTACGCTGTGGAGGGGAGGGGGCGGGGGCGGCGTACTTACCTCTGCGGCGCTGGGAATTTTTCTTCCGGTTGCGATGTTTTCGCGGTTTTTCCTAGTTTACATGTGTTGTATGCCCCACGCTCTCTCCCGCCCCCCACAGCAAAATTTTGTGAAAAAGTAGGGAAGCTTTTGAGAAATTTTGGAAATACTGGTAAGAAGTTGGAGAAAATCTAAGAAAGTAGAAGGTAAGATGGGAGGGTGGATCGTATCAAGCCACCTTCCAGGGGGGGGGCTGGTACCAAAAAAAACCAAGTAATGATGTGCCCTGTGCTCACTTCAACAACTGGTAGAAGTTTAGCGCCGCGCCAGACCTATTCCGCCTGACACGCCCCCTCATCCGCAGTTAACAAGACTGTATCCCAGATCTTGTGAAACATTTGACGCCGTTTTCACTTTATCTGTTTAGAAAACCTACAACCGGGTGAAAAACTATTGGAGGTCACATGGATTAGGCATGGACGAAATGTAATCTAGCAACAGAAAATACATACTTGATGCAAGGGAAAATTTGTTGATATGGCAAGAGGAGCATCGTGAGCACCGAGGTCTGTTCCTGCTTCGAGCGGTCCCATAGTATCCATGGACCGGTGTTGCCTGCAAACATGAGCTCTCAAGAGAGGGACGGTGGTTACAAATGGTCGATGAAACCCCAATCCCATAAGCAGCGTTAAGACTCCGCGACGGCAGCGCCCGGTCGCGCGTTCGACGCGACCGGCGCAGTCAAAAGCATGCGCATCGATCAGGCCGAACGCGCGACCGAAGCGCTGCTGTCGCGAAGTCTGAACGCTGAAATAGCATTTATAGACAGAGAGAAAAAAAAGAAAAGCATAAGAGTATATAAGAGTATAGCACTATTCCACTACCACTACCCAAACTCAAGATTTTTTCGGCTGAGATTTCCCCACTGGGGTTCTTCAGAGCCCTGATCACGAATATGCTACTCAATACTACCGCTGGCGCCATTTAGCGGGCGGAAGGCGCCAAGTTGGGGCTACCACCTATATCACCAAAATCGATGAAAACTTGTATACGGAGCTCATCTGATCCTCTCATTTCGCGCCAATAGGCGCCACGACCTCTCTTGATGAAATCGATGAAAACATGTAACGGAGTTATTTTATCTCTACATCACGGAAATAATACGCAATGACACTTATTTTGTTAGACAACCAGGACTGAAGTAAGGAGAGTTTTCTGCTGGTTTGCTTTCTGTGCTCCCGAATTTGCTGTTGTTTTTCAATGTCGCTTGAATGCTTCGCTGTTCAACCCATTTAGTTTTGCTCACATTGTAGCGCAAACGTGCATGCATGATAGGTAAATATAAATAAATCAATCAGTCAATAGGAAAATATTGTAAGATGATGGCGTTAGCGGCGAAGGCTCTCCAATGAAGGATTTTATACAACAGCTTCGTAAGCATCTATCAAACATAGATAAATAAATAACTATGACATCCACTTTCGGCGCGGGTGCCAACGCAAGGCACTAGCGCCGGCAACAAAAGCGGGTGTCATATTCCTGGGCAGGATGTCAATTAACCCCCGTATACAACTTTTTGTCGATTTGTCGAGAAAGCTGGTGGCGTCAAATGGCGCCTTCGCTAAAATGAATGTCACTATCGTGACCAGCACATCAGGTAACATCTTTAGGTAGATGCAAAAATTGTTCTGCCGCTCGAGCTTTTTAGCAGAAGTAAGGAGAGAAGCTGGAGGATATGTATAGGTAGAGTTGAAGCGAAATTTTTTTTCGAGTTTTGGAGTTGTGATACTGGAATAGCACCAAGAGTGAAGAGAAGTATAAGCTCCCTACAAGCCAAGACGCATCTCGACGTGATTGAAAACAAAAAAAATGGCAGCATAGCATGGATGAGAGAGCATGGCGCTCTAAAAAATGCGGCACTGAAAGAAAGGGAAAAGGGTACACATAGCAAACGGAGAAAAAAAAATCGACCGCTCAACTCAACCTTGCCATAGACGAAGAAGTATTGATTTTTTTGAGAGCCACCATGGGCCAAGGGAATCGAAAAATTGCACTTTTGGCAGAAAAGATGGAAACACAACTCGGCTAGAGTAAGGATATTTTTCTAGCTTCAGTCATTGCCAATGTCGATTTTCGCAGTTGACACGCATGTCTAATGAAGTTACCAATGAGGATTCGTTTGTGAAAGAGACGAAAGACTAAGATATACTATGAACTCACAACTCCACTACATAACTTTGAAACGTAAAAGCATAACCCCTTATCAAGAATGGTGTTAACGAAATATATTGAAGTCATTACTAACCGAGTAAGAGTTTGCCTTCGAGCTGAAGTAGATGGGTACCCGTATCTACTCGGTCCTGCACTCGAACCTCTAGGAGCTGGAGCAGGTGCTGGGGCGGTGGCTGATGCTATATCGTGCGGTTCGTATGATGAAGATCTCGGCTGAACAACATTGAAAGCAGACCCGTACTCACCGAGACCAAAACGACTCTAAATTGATTGGATTCTTTATGAGGGAATTCAGCTTAAAGCATCAATTTGGTTACTCTTAAGTAAAACAGTTGATAAACAGCTACCTGGGTAATATTGTAATCTAAAGGATTCAAAACAGGTTGCTCGAGATCTCCTTGTGGATGGACCATGCTGAAGGTATAACCATCAAAGGACCTCGCCGGAATTGCTCCAGTCAAGTCACCGCCCCATGCTAGGGACCTGCCACGAGCAGGCCACGCTCGATCCAGTACGTCTGAAAACAAGAAAAGAAGTCACTAGTACAAAATGAAAACTCGGAATTACAACAAACTAAACATTACTGCAAAGAATGCAACCCTCACGTATGCGGCATGAAAACTTTCAATTCGATTCACGGATGTATCAAGAAATTCATGTAAACGAGATAAATATAGTGTAGTTCGCTGCGGGCGGTTGGGCGTGTCAGGCACCATGAGTTTGGCGCGGAGCAATCTACACCGGTGTTAATACGAGCAAATGACATGACTGTATCATATCGTTCGTATTACTCGTTTTCTACCACTTTTTGTCGCATGCTCAACAAGAAGGCAGAGAACGGCTTTGACGGGGTGACACACTCATACTGCCTGACACGCCCAACCGTCCGCAGCGAACTAGAGTGTATGCAACCTTGTTTTTTGTAGTAGGTAGCAACAACTTATGCAGTCGTTGGAATTATGCGCCACACGAAGATACAGACTGAGTGACTTTTGGCAATGATGCTTGCGGTATGAGTACAGAAGATTACGACGAAACTATCAAAAAAAAGAGATGAAAGAATATTCACGAAACACTCCATAATTTCCTCTCGTATTGAATCAAGCAGATAGCGAAGAGAACCGGATCGAAGATGATGTGGGAAGGGATAGACGACGCAGTTTAGCGACGAGATGGCGGAGGGGGGAGGCACCTTGCACTTTTGCTACTTTCCACTGGCGAGCCGAACCATCATGTGCATACCTGTCTTCTGAAATCTGTGAAGCTATAAAACAGCTCGACCAGGTCATTCAGCTTTACAAGAGTTCGCAGGTTTTATCAGTATGTGTATGCCCCCGCTCCCATCCTCTTCAACGAGTAGTGTCGGGATGGGTGAATATTTAGGAAACTGATCCAACGTGATGGACGCAATCCTCAACACTGAACACTGCTTCCTGGAGTGAATAAGAAAAAGGACGGAAAGCATCGCTGAACTGTGATGCTAATTTTGTATTCTATACCAACAAGCTTGGCTTGACCGCAACTACTGGCGCGTATGGTTGAACCTATGGTGATGGACTGCGCTGACAGGATTCCTGTATTGACCCCGAACACTTCGCCCGATTACAATTTTTTAGAATACGGCCTATTTCATTATGATTCTCCTATTTAATGAACGTTTGCTAATGTCTGGTGCTTATCACATTTCTAAGAAACACTCATCATCCGTTGGAAATAGGACAGCTTAGCGGTTGAAAGACTTTTGATGGTAATAACATTGATATCATGGTGATATATCCTCACATTTCTCACATCCTAGTACTTCCGTTGAGCAGCTTCCAGGGCTTTTCAATTTTCGTCGAAACTCGAGAGCTTAGCGGTCGTAACCATATCGCTAAGGGATAGAATACTTGACTCACGAAGCCTCTAACCATTGTTCCTTGGGCACCGGTGCTGAAGTTTATCAGTTGGTGGGTGGCAGGACGTGATAACAGCTTATCAGCTGTTATCACGTCCTGCCACCCACCAATAAGTCCATCCTGCCCCCTATCCAACTTCTTGGAACCCACATCCCGTCGTCGCTGTGGTCCGCGCTATGGAGCTGGTGACCCTTCCTTTTTAAGGCCCCTTGTGGTATCTTATCAGCTGTTATCACTTCCTGTCACCCACCAATGATGTTTCCATCCTGCCCCCTATCTAACTTCTTGAAACCAACGTCCCATCGCTGCTGTGGCCGGTGTTATGAATTAGGTAACTCACTCTTTTTAAGGCCCCTTATGGTATCTTATCAGCTGTTATCACTTCCTGTCACCCACCAATAATGTTCCCATCCTGCCCCCTATCTAACTTCTTGAAATCAACGTCCCATCGCTGCTGTGGCCGGTGTTATGAATTAGGTAGCTCACTCTTTTTAAGGCCCCTTGTGGTATCTTATCAGCTCTTATCACTTCCTGCCACCCACCAATAATGTTCCCGTCCTGCCTCCTATCTTACTTCTTGGAACCAACGCTCTAGTCTTGCTGTGACGCGCGTTATGAATTTGCTGACTTCGCCTTTATACGGCCCCTTATGGTATCTTATCAAGTGCTATCGCTTCCTGCCACCCACCAATAATGTTCCTGCCCGACCTCCTACACAAATCTATCAGTTTGAGCGCATTATCGCTGTTTTGAAGAAAGTTATGAATTTCCGGTCAAACACACACACAGACAGAATTCACACACATCAGCACACACACACGCAACAGACAAACTTAGGCGGATTATCTATACCAGTGGTAATGAACAGACCCATCTTATCTACGCGACCTGCCGTTGGAGAAAATTTCTACTAGTTAAAACCCTCCTCCGAAAGTTTCCTCTCTGGTGTATGATCCCTTCTTCCTCATCCGCCTTACCATCTTCCTGAACTTCTCCAGCTTCTTACCACCTTTTCGGACTTTCCCTCAGAGTAACCGTTAGCACATGAAATGGCGGGAATGACTGAGAAATGCCAGCAGCCGAACACATCTCTCACAAAGGCGAATACGATCTCTCCCTCTAGCGACCAAGTACGACTTCCTCGCTGAGGACCTCCTACGTGCGATGTGTCCTGTCTCTCTGGGTAGCGCTACGTGCTACATAATCCCCGCATGGGCTTTGAAAAAATTGAGAATCCATAAGCACCAAGATGGTTATGCCAAAGATACAGCCCGAGATGGCACACCATGGGTTCCTGAACGAAAAAGTGAGTGCTGCGGACTTACCATTAGACCGGTCAATGGCATGTGGCACATTTTGAAGTTGAGCTCTAGAATTCATTTCGTTGACCTGCTACGCCAATACTACAGATTATTAGTACGCCAGATACTACAGATTACTACAGATTATTAGTATGCGAAGAAAAGCCTTCGTGACTCAAAAAACATTCTCGAATGAGTTTCCCATGGACATCTTGCCAATAACCGCTACAATGGATACTCGTATGTACTCATAGAATCCATGCAGCAACGCGGCCACTTCATATCAATCCCTTCGCTTCATATTTTACTTCGCAAATGAAGCAATACGAGCATCAGGTACGGTCGTCCATTTGTGGGCGGGCGTGGTGGGCGTTCGGGTCGGTATGTTGTAGCTTGATGAGGCCCTTATGAGATATCCTCTTTGGAAAAGGCGCTACGAAGCGTCTGCTCAGGGTAGCGGAATTTCTTCCTGCCAGGCGCATTTATCCTACTCGCCTTATCA